ACTGTTTCTGGTATAAATTTAGGTATATTTTCAACATATAAATTTTTAAATATTTCCCACTTAATGAACCCATTTAAAAAGTTTATTTGCTGAAGATAGCGTAAGTTTAAGCAAATATTTGAAATGTTAAATACAGTTATTTGGTAAACTTAAAAATAACAATTTGCTTATTACAATGTGATGCCATATTTTGTTAATTTTTGTCATACAAAGTGAAATAACAATACCAACAAAGAAATGTTCATAGGCACATGCATATTGCAAGACTGACATAGGCTAGTTTAAAAGAGCATACAAAGATATGCTCTTTTAATCAGCTCTTTCAGACACGTGTTTCCTTCATTTAGCTTCTTCTTTGGTAAATTGTACTAAAGTGTTATTTCAGCAACCTACCTGTTAGGCCGAGACTCCACTACTGTAAAAACTGCATAAAACCCCTCGCTGCAAAAGCTTTTAATCATGTGACCCTGATATTTTACGCCTGAGCAGGTCATAAAACCAGCGTAAAAGCGAGTTGAGCAGTGTTCAACTTGCTTTTACGCTGATATTACGACCTGCTCAGGCGTAAAATATTTTACAGCGAGAGGCTTTACGCCGTTTTTATGGTAGTGGAGTCTTGGCCTTAATGCTGTTTTGCCAAACTTATCACAAGAACTTTGATATATTATAACACTCTTCTTTTATTCTTTTTAAGTAGAAGTAACAAAATACATTTTGACCTCATATCATCCCTCTTCAGTCATTAAAATTAAATTTTGTGTACATTTCAGATTATTAAATACATATTTACTGCTCAAAACTTCAAAAAATAACATTATTAAATCAATGAAACACAAACCATAAGACAAGAAGTACATGTTTAAAATTATAACTAAAGTATGTAAGTGACCTTCACTACATGTTATATTGAAGTTGTTATAAGTTTAGCAAGATAGCACTAACAGGTTGTTGAAATAACACTTTAGACACTGTTTTTCAGTAATGACTATGGCACTCAAGGCTGCTGTTGGACAAGGCATACTATCAATGAGGCAGTTAATGATTGCCTGAGGTATCCCTTGCCAAGCTGCATCTACTGCACTGCTCATGTCGTCTACAATGTGGCAATGGTTCCCGGTGCACCTCATGTTGGACAAGGTTACAGTGGGGTATGATGGGAGAAAGATCCAGAGAGGTTACTAGCCAGGGAAGGATGTGAATTCCATTCATGGTAGTGAGAGTTTGCTGTGTGATGTGTAGTCTGGCATTGTCTTGCTGGAACACTGTCAGGTGCAGCCTGAACCAGTGGCTGAACTACAGGGCCCACAATTCATATGATGTACTGGTCTGCTGTCAGAGTACCAGAAATGTGAACAATGGCTGTCCATTGATCAAACACAATGTCTGGTGTGGGACAAGTGTGATGCTCAGCGAAAAGGACTGGCATGTAGCATTTCCCAGGATACCACCACACCCATCTACAACCATCAGTTCTCCACAGACAGATGAGGTTTCATTTGTAAACAATACCAGATGCCATTCAGTAATCCAGTTATGACAATGACATCACACCAGGCATGCAGCCGTGTCAAGCAAGTAGTGGTAACCCCATTATTGGTTGCCTTGTTTGAAGCTCGGCTTCATGCAACATGATTCAAATGGTTTGGGTGGACACAAATACATCTGTTCATGACAGCAGGCAGCATTGGATACCATATACCATGGTGAATGGGTCCCAATGGACCATTCAGTGAATCTGACAGTCTGTCCCTCTGTCCATTGTCATACAGTGCTGATTGGTACTCATGTTGTGCCCAATACATATAACAAGTGCATGCATCAACAAACTAAGGTCGCACAACTCCAGGATATTGTCTCATTTCCCAGCCATTAATTGGTGGTATTCAGCTTGCTCTGAGGCATTTTCATGTGGTATTGCTGTTGTCTCTGAGGCATTTTCTATATTTCTTCAAAAGTTTGGCTGTCACAAACCATTGCTGATAGCATTTAGGGCCTGAGCCAGTTGCTGGTCTTAATAATCCGAAACTAGATACCAAACGCCCTGATGCATATGTAAATTTAATCATTTCCATATCTCTGTCACCTATACTGGTCATGCAACGTTCATGTGGATAAGCACATTCCTTCGTGGTGTTGCAATTTCACTTTTGAGGAGTGTAGATAACAGCGTTTAGTTGAAATGGTTTTATTAAAAAAATTATGAACTAAAAAAAATTTTTTTTTATATTTGACAATATAAAAAAAGTTGATAAACATTATTTGTAGATATTGGAAGAGCTCACTTATATTTTTTGCTTAGACCATTGTTCTCTTCCACCATTTATGCTTATGAATGTAATTATTATTATTACATTGGGTTTAGTGAGTTATACTCAGTTGACACTGGTTGCTGTGTACTATGCCAGACCAGAGTCAAGGCATAGCAACCAAATTAGTAGTAGTAGTTCCTCTAATGCTAAGTGTCCTAGTAGTATTTTTTTTTTCATTCATTTTTATTGATTATGTACTGTCAAGTACATTCCTGGCCCTGCATGGAGCATTACCAGGGAATGTCCTAGTAGTAGCATACTGATTTCAATCATGGGTAAGGACTTCAGCTTCTTCCTATGTCATATTGAGCATCTTCAAATCTTGAAGAAAAGTTCTATGCCAAGTATTCCTGGGGTGTCCTCATGGTCATTTGGCACCAGGGAAACCCATTTCATGGCTGTCTTAGGGATCCTATTGTTCTCCATATGAAAACAGGGGCCAGCCAGTCAATTCTTCTACGGGCAACAATGTTATGAAATTTGCACATCACACTCCTTTGGAGAACCACTTCATTATAGCAACCAAAACAAATCAAAAGTTAAATAAGTGTGTCAGTGTGTGTCTGTATTCAGGAATTTCCTAACAATATGACATGTATTCAATATAGTGGCCTTTTGCAATGAGATGTATGTTTCTATTCAGTTGTAATGTTCCTAGGCTTTTGTGTAGTGTGTGTTGACACCTAAAGAGAATGTTATTGTTATTATTATTATTATATTACATAGTAGTATAAGCAAAAACTAAAGCTTTTTAGGATAAAAATTGCAGATAGACTTTCACAATATAAGGTAAAAAATATTATTTCTAAACTTAAAAATAAATTCTTTTTAAAATTCTGTAAAATTACATCTTGAGCAGATATATAAAATATCAATAATTAATCTTTGAAATACTAAATTCAGGTAATATATTGTAATGTTCCATAAGTAAAAAAATTTTATTAATTCACAGAAAGTTTATTTTGAAGATATCATATCACTGTAAATAAAATGAGTTTACAACTCAAACACCTCTCACTTTTCAAAGTATTTGATAAAAAAAATGTTTTTATCTTCCTAAACTCCAACAAGAATCTTCCTAGACAACAAACACAATAGAAATAAATATAAATTTACTTAAATTGATTAGCCCAAATAAGTACAGCTATAATAAACTCATTATAGCCATACTTAATTGGGCTAATCAATTTAATCTCAATTTACGTTATGAACTAGAAATGTTATTTCATAATATAAATTTACTGTTTAAACATTTCTGGAAATTTATCATCTCAATCTACCAAATCCTTTGAAACACAATATAGTTAAAATCTTGTTTTACAAAATGTGATTTCATAGCAAAGTCACATACAAGCTAATACTGCTGAATTTATTTGCAATGAAAGTAACAAATTCATTGTGTGAAATTATGAAATTGTGTTATCTTCCAACAAAAATATCTAAATCAAGTACGATTTCATGATTTTTAGAGTAAAAATGTTTTTGTTTTTGGATTGAACTGATAGGAAGAAACAATCCTCCTCATTTCTTCAAAACCATAAATTTTTGGGTAAGCCTAGATAATTTTTCTGATTATTCATACTATCTACAAACCTTTCATTTGATTTTAGAAATATTTTACACATCTTGAATTCATTCTTGGAAATGAACTTGACTGGCCTGAAACATCATTTGCAACAGGTAAACATTTTATTTAAACAAGATAATAATCAGAACATAAATTTATGTTGTTGTTATTTATTTTCAGGTTATAAGAATCTCTCTTGGCCTACACTTCAAGGATATACAGATTCTTTGTATTTTAGATTAAGGGAACACAATTTATGTAATCATAGAGATTATCAAAATTTGGCTGTTAATGGTATTGTTTCATATATATTCATATTATAGTAGAAGTCTTTTTCTGGCATCCACAGAATCACAGCGGTGCTGGATTATTGAAAATGCCAGATCACTGGATGGTTTTGTACTTTTGCAAAATTTGATAAGTTATATACAATCTGAACATTGCAGATATTGCTATGCATTTTGTAACAGCACACACTGCTGTGTGCATCCAACTTGTTTATGCAAGCTCTTTCTGACTATACTGTGCTAAGATTGAAAAACCTGCTAAAACATTTCAATGAACACATTACTGCACAAACTCAACATTCACAATGACTCATATGTATATACTGTAATATTTATTCAGAAAAGGACAAAATTGTAACATATTCAAGAAAATCAAAAATTTTAATTCCAAATGAGTAAGTTTTGCAGAATCCTTCATCAAAGAATGTAGCTTACTCATATTTGTGAGATTGCTGTTTGCCTGTCGAATAAACTTTTATTTGAAAATAATAATTTTTATATAAAATAACTGTAAACATCATGGACTATGTCCATTCATTTTCTATCAAAAATGTATTTTTCTTGTCTTCCTTGAAAATCTGCTCCCAGAATCATTCTCTGTTAAAATAAATTAAGTAATTATTCAAGTTTTAAAAATAAACTCTAATTTTGTAGTTTATGATTTTATTACTCTTATGTTATAACTTTCTTTTAACTGTCTGCTTGCTATATTAATTATGAAAAAATAATGTACTGTACCTATAAACAATAAGAAACCAGAGAAATATCATTGAAAGATGAATTCTTCTATGTGTCAGTAAATCATAATATTGACTTACTTAATACTAATAATTTAAAAAAATTTTTTATTGCTTAATCCAAATAAAATTTACAATTATTTATGTAAAAATTATATTGGTTTCAAAATAAAAACTCATTCATTGACAGGCAAACAAAGCAAGCTCACAAATATCGATAAGATATACAGTGGGTGATCGGTTAACGAACAAAATCTGTTCCAAGACTTTGTTCGCTATCCAAATTGTTCGTTAACCGATTATCTATTTACCATAGGTTTTAATGGGAATTTAATCAATTCGTTCTGGAGACCCCCCAAAAATAAAAAATATATACTTTCTTACTATGTTTATTTATATGTAATAATAAAAATACATATATACACAGTCTTGCGTTTTTATTAGTCATGTTTTTTCTGTTTGAAAGGGTTAAAGAATCTGTCTAATGTCGATTGCTTTTCTCTCTTCTTCAGGATTTTTCATAAGTAATTAATAAGATTGCAATTGTAGAAATCCCCAAGCCTCAACCTGGTTTGGATGCCATTCTAAGACCGTTGTTCTGACATCCTCCCACTTCTTCAAAGGATCTTTAATAACAGATATCGGCATTAATCCTCTTTTTCAAAAGAAAACATATCTTGCCGAGTTTCTTGGTGTTCTTCATTCAAGAGTTTTTGGCGTTCTTCTGTCGTCAGATCCATTTCAGGTTCCATTATGAACTTTTCAATGTTCTTTATTTCTCAGGCGTGATTTTTGTTACTCTTTTAGCTGCTTGGATCTTCTTGATTATATAGTATCTTTCTTAGATAAGATTGAACTGTGACCTACTGTAGCCCTGTTCAAGCCATACTGCCCAGCAACATCAGACAACATCTGCCCACTCTCTACCTTTGCTATTATACTTTCAACTTTCGAAAAGAAAAACAGACGCAAAACTTAATGAGTGCCTACCCGACAGTCTCGCGAATACATATAAGAATTGTTTTGTCAGAAAAATAAAAGGCTGGAATTACAAGGGAGAGTTTCAAAGTTCAGAGGAATACTATCCGATCGGTATATACCGGCTTGAGCGTCGATGTTGACGTCTCCCGCACTCCGAAAAGTTTTGAATTGTTGCCGGAAAACAAGGGAACACCAATCGGTATTCATTATTTTATGTCTCTTCTTCTTGTGTTTGTTCTGTGGGTGTTCGTTGTCCGAACATAAAAATCTTTCGTGAAAGTGTTCATTATCCAATTTGTTCGTTATCTGATCTGTTCGTTAACCAATCACCCACTGTACTACTTCCAAACAATATGGTATTCAAGGTTCTACAAAATTTACTCTTAAGTTTCTCAGGATTTTTAAGTTTGATTTTCTTGAAACATTTGAGAAGTGCACTTTCTCTCTTTGCTTGATATAGAACTTCTTATCATAAAGTTATGCATAAAGTGTCTATTGTAACTTTTTCAGAACAACTCACTGTTCCACTTTAGTGCAAGCAGTATACACTAATTTTAACATTGTATGCAGATTGAAATTCAATGATATTGCAATCACAGGTAACCAACTTTCAAATAAAAGTCCCTCTGTAGTTTATTTAAAAATGGTACTCACTCACTAATCTGTTGGTTGGATCAATGACAATATCTGCCAGATGATGATACAACAATGTTTCTGCAAGTGAGGGGATGTGCTTTGCAACTTTTGGCCACAAGAATGACTTTGTTGTCTTGGGAAAGTCCTCTTTTTTCAAAATTCCACTTCATAACACAAACATGAAAAAAACCAGTTCCTGGCAATTACAGAGGTCATCCAAAATATTTCATAAGTATACTGACAAGCTTGTCAAGTTTTTAAATGCCCATAACTTCTTGGACTTTACTATAACTAGAATTTTGATTCCATGCATGCTAAAAGTGTTTTTACATGCACAAACACTAGTTCTGTTCTTAATCTGTTAGCAGCTTTCTTGTCATTTCCAACTAAGGTAGCAATCAAAAGACAACATTCCAACATCCCAGTTTTGTTGGCACTGTTACCTGAGAGACAAATCACTGCTTCTACCAACTCCAAAACACTGTAATATATTTTTCTGCAGCAATATGATCAGCAAACTTTCGTTCTCCACAATATTCAGTTTTCAAATGCTATGTCAGTTTAAATCTTTAAAGCCAACCATCAGAGAAAGAACATACCTCAGTAATATTTATTTTTGCATGAAAGTGTTTTGATTTTTCAATCACCACAGGGCTAGTAATTGTTACTCTTTCATAGCATTTTGCATTAAACCAGTTTTACAAAGCTACATCTAATTCAGCCATTTTTTGTTATCTTAGATGCAGCCTTTCTTTCAAAAGTTTAGATGCTTCATATTTGGCTACAAATGACAACAGGCTTTCTAATTTGTCAGATTGTTGACAACTGAATGCTAAAATCATTCATAATTTTCTGCTGACAGACACCTTTTTCCAGTTATCTGATTATTTTCGTTTTCTTTGTTACACTAGTTAATGGGATGAAAAGAAAATGTACAGAACATTCTCTTTTTGTGCCTTTGCCACTTTTCCTGTTTTTGTTCTATTCTCTTTGCATGATTGATGTATACATTGCATAAATTCTCACATCGCCACCAAGAAGCTGGAGTCTATGTAAATGGACAATAGTGCTGAAAATTTGATCTAGAGACAAAAGTAAGTTACATAGAAGTTGGCTTTAATTAAAGAAATTAACTTATCAATTCTATTTACAACTTTATTGAATGAATGATGGCTAGTAAGCAACTTGAGAACAACCTGTGAGAAACTGCAGAGACTCCCAAAGAACTGGCATGAGTTTGGAGGGAAGTTCCTTTCATAGACACTGCCATGCAGACTTAATTAATTAATTAAGGAAGATGAATTCTTGTCAAAAATTGTGAACATCAGGTGATGATTTCAAGTCTGTTCCTAAAAGATGTTTGCACCAACTTTAATGATTGTAGCATAAACATTTATTAGCCACAGAAAAACATCAGTGAAGGTATCAAACCCACAGAAACAAGATGCTGTAATGAGTTATTTCTCTTTATCACATTGCTGCTGATCCCATAGATGACTGATATGTAGTAGTGTGCACAGCCACATCCATCTTCACCTCAATTTCCACCCATAAAACTTAATATACATGTGCAAATAAATTCAGATTTACAGAAAACCATGCTGGATGATGATCAGACAATTTCAGATTATTAACTACTTTTCAGAGTGAGCCAGATTGCCTCACATTCTGGATTATAGGGTGCCAGATTAAACTTCTACTATATTAATATTATGATTAATTATTAATAATAATAAAATTATTATTAGGAGCAGACAGTGAAGAGACAATTAAATATATTAAAGAGTAAGTTTATACTTCCACATTGCTACACAATATATTAAGCTAAAAAATTCTTGTAAAATAGATATTCCGTATGTTTCTATATTCAATGGTAAGAGAACGTTTCTAAATGGACCGTTGAGTTCTACATTGAGACTAGTGATGTCAGCACTGTTTCACCGTCGAGCTCAATGTTCTCAACAACCTGAATGACTGTTGAGTATTCAACAAACTAACATGACAGCTTCCATGAAAAAGTAAATTTCGCTTATAGAAACTATCCATTCACTGCTGTGGATGCTGTAATAGCAGACAGATTAATGAATGATCTGTATATGATAAAACATGTGATTGCATGATTATGTTGGATAATTTGGTCAATATTAAAATATTAAGATTTTTTTCATTTGTCCAAAATTGATTATGACCAATATTTGGCCCTCAAAGTCTTCCTAATTTGATAAATATTCAAGAAGTTAATTAAAATTATTAAAGAAAGACTCAGTATACAAGAAAATGATACAGATATGGGTTCATTTGAATAAAAGGATTTATTTGAATAATGGTTAAGCGAGTTGAATTAATTAATTTAATTAATTAAAGTAATTATTTAGCAAAACAGTCACAATCACCACCTTCTCGTTACTTAAGTCAGCCATCTTGAAAAGTGACCTATCAACAAAAGCATTTCTTTTTTCTGCAAAACATGACGTCAGATCATTCAATGAAAGGACTCAACGGAAAATTCACTGTTGAGTCAACCGTTGAATATAGAAACATACGGAATGTCCAAAACATTTAAGTGCAATCTAAAATACTTTTGGGCTTTTTTCTCTATTTTAAATGGTTATATATTCTTGAACATTTATTCTGAAAATGTAGGAAAATATCAAAATTTTAAATGAAGGAACTTTTAGGCTTAATATCAAGTATTAATTTAACTCTAAAAAAAATGATTAAATAAGTAATTGTTTAGACATCAATGATAACATTATCTACTTAATTCTCTAGAATATATAACAACACATGAAAACTGTTTTTATTAGAATAAATGTTATATATCCTCTCTAAACCAATTTATTATTTTTTNAAAAGCTTTTAATCATGTGACCCTGATATTTTACGCCTGAGCAGGTCATAAAACCAGCGTAAAAGCGAGTTGAGCAGTGTTCAACTTGCTTTTACGCTGATATTACGACCTGCTCAGGCGTAAAATATTTTACAGCGAGAGGCTTTACGCCGTTTTTATGGTAGTGGAGTCTTGGCCTTAATGCTGTTTTGCCAAACTTATCACAAGAACTTTGATATATTATAACACTCTTCTTTTATTCTTTTTAAGTAGAAGTAACAAAATACATTTTGACCTCATATCATCCCTCTTCAGTCATTAAAATTAAATTTTGTGTACATTTCAGATTATTAAATACATATTTACTGCTCAAAACTTCAAAAAATAACATTATTAAATCAATGAAACACAAACCATAAGACAAGAAGTACATGTTTAAAATTATAACTAAAGTATGTAAGTGACCTTCACTACATGTTATATTGAAGTTGTTATAAGTTTAGCAAGATAGCACTAACAGGTTGTTGAAATAACACTTTAGACACTGTTTTTCAGTAATGACTATGGCACTCAAGGCTGCTGTTGGACAAGGCATACTATCAATGAGGCAGTTAATGATTGCCTGAGGTATCCCTTGCCAAGCTGCATCTACTGCACTGCTCATGTCGTCTACAATGTGGCAATGGTTCCCGGTGCACCTCATGTTGGACAAGGTTACAGTGGGGTATGATGGGAGAAAGATCCAGAGAGGTTACTAGCCAGGGAAGGATGTGAATTCCATTCATGGTAGTGAGAGTTTGCTGTGTGATGTGTAGTCTGGCATTGTCTTGCTGGAACACTGTCAGGTGCAGCCTGAACCAGTGGCTGAACTACAGGGCCCACAATTCATATGATGTACTGGTCTGCTGTCAGAGTACCAGAAATGTGAACAATGGCTGTCCATTGATCAAACACAATGTCTGGTGTGGGACAAGTGTGATGCTCAGCGAAAAGGACTGGCATGTAGCATTTCCCAGGATACCACCACACCCATCTACAACCATCAGTTCTCCACAGACAGATGAGGTTTCATTTGTAAACAATACCAGATGCCATTCAGTAATCCAGTTATGACAATGACATCACACCAGGCATGCAGCCGTGTCAAGCAAGTAGTGGTAACCCCATTATTGGTTGCCTTGTTTGAAGCTCGGCTTCATGCAACATGATTCAAATGGTTTGGGTGGACACAAATACATCTGTTCATGACAGCAGGCAGCATTGGATACCATATACCATGGTGAATGGGTCCCAATGGACCATTCAGTGAATCTGACAGTCTGTCCCTCTGTCCATTGTCATACAGTGCTGATTGGTACTCATGTTGTGCCCAATACATATAACAAGTGCATGCATCAACAAACTAAGGTCGCACAACTCCAGGATATTGTCTCATTTCCCAGCCATTAATTGGTGGTATTCAGCTTGCTCTGAGGCATTTTCATGTGGTATTGCTGTTGTCTCTGAGGCATTTTCTATATTTCTTCAAAAGTTTGGCTGTCACAAACCATTGCTGATAGCATTTAGGGCCTGAGCCAGTTGCTGGTCTTAATAATCCGAAACTAGATACCAAACGCCCTGATGCATATGTAAATTTAATCATTTCCATATCTCTGTCACCTATACTGGTCATGCAACGTTCATGTGGATAAGCACATTCCTTCGTGGTGTTGCAATTTCACTTTTGAGGAGTGTAGATAACAGCGTTTAGTTGAAATGGTTTTATTAAAAAAATTATGAACTAAAAAAAATTTTTTTTTATATTTGACAATATAAAAAAAGTTGATAAACATTATTTGTAGATATTGGAAGAGCTCACTTATATTTTTTGCTTAGACCATTGTTCTCTTCCACCATTTATGCTTATGAATGTAATTATTATTATTACATTGGGTTTAGTGAGTTATACTCAGTTGACACTGGTTGCTGTGTACTATGCCAGACCAGAGTCAAGGCATAGCAACCAAATTAGTAGTAGTAGTTCCTCTAATGCTAAGTGTCCTAGTAGTATTTTTTTTTTCATTCATTTTTATTGATTATGTACTGTCAAGTACATTCCTGGCCCTGCATGGAGCATTACCAGGGAATGTCCTAGTAGTAGCATACTGATTTCAATCATGGGTAAGGACTTCAGCTTCTTCCTATGTCATATTGAGCATCTTCAAATCTTGAAGAAAAGTTCTATGCCAAGTATTCCTGGGGTGTCCTCATGGTCATTTGGCACCAGGGAAACCCATTTCATGGCTGTCTTAGGGATCCTATTGTTCTCCATATGAAAACAGGGGCCAGCCAGTCAATTCTTCTACGGGCAACAATGTTATGAAATTTGCACATCACACTCCTTTGGAGAACCACTTCATTATAGCAACCAAAACAAATCAAAAGTTAAATAAGTGTGTCAGTGTGTGTCTGTATTCAGGAATTTCCTAACAATATGACATGTATTCAATATAGTGGCCTTTTGCAATGAGATGTATGTTTCTATTCAGTTGTAATGTTCCTAGGCTTTTGTGTAGTGTGTGTTGACACCTAAAGAGAATGTTATTGTTATTATTATTATTATATTACATAGTAGTATAAGCAAAAACTAAAGCTTTTTAGGATAAAAATTGCAGATAGACTTTCACAATATAAGGTAAAAAATATTATTTCTAAACTTAAAAATAAATTCTTTTTAAAATTCTGTAAAATTACATCTTGAGCAGATATATAAAATATCAATAATTAATCTTTGAAATACTAAATTCAGGTAATATATTGTAATGTTCCATAAGTAAAAAAATTTTATTAATTCACAGAAAGTTTATTTTGAAGATATCATATCACTGTAAATAAAATGAGTTTACAACTCAAACACCTCTCACTTTTCAAAGTATTTGATAAAAAAAATGTTTTTATCTTCCTAAACTCCAACAAGAATCTTCCTAGACAACAAACACAATAGAAATAAATATAAATTTACTTAAATTGATTAGCCCAAATAAGTACAGCTATAATAAACTCATTATAGCCATACTTAATTGGGCTAATCAATTTAATCTCAATTTACGTTATGAACTAGAAATGTTATTTCATAATATAAATTTACTGTTTAAACATTTCTGGAAATTTATCATCTCAATCTACCAAATCCTTTGAAACACAATATAGTTAAAATCTTGTTTTACAAAATGTGATTTCATAGCAAAGTCACATACAAGCTAATACTGCTGAATTTATTTGCAATGAAAGTAACAAATTCATTGTGTGAAATTATGAAATTGTGTTATCTTCCAACAAAAATATCTAAATCAAGTACGATTTCATGATTTTTAGAGTAAAAATGTTTTTGTTTTTGGATTGAACTGATAGGAAGAAACAATCCTCCTCATTTCTTCAAAACCATAAATTTTTGGGTAAGCCTAGATAATTTTTCTGATTATTCATACTATCTACAAACCTTTCATTTGATTTTAGAAATATTTTACACATCTTGAATTCATTCTTGGAAATGAACTTGACTGGCCTGAAACATCATTTGCAACAGGTAAACATTTTATTTAAACAAGATAATAATCAGAACATAAATTTATGTTGTTGTTATTTATTTTCAGGTTATAAGAATCTCTCTTGGCCTACACTTCAAGGATATACAGATTCTTTGTATTTTAGATTAAGGGAACACAATTTATGTAATCATAGAGATTATCAAAATTTGGCTGTTAATGGTATTGTTTCATATATATTCATATTATAGTAGAAGTCTTTTTCTGGCATCCACAGAATCACAGCGGTGCTGGATTATTGAAAATGCCAGATCACTGGATGGTTTTGTACTTTTGCAAAATTTGATAAGTTATATACAATCTGAACATTGCAGATATTGCTATGCATTTTGTAACAGCACACACTGCTGTGTGCATCCAACTTGTTTATGCAAGCTCTTTCTGACTATACTGTGCTAAGATTGAAAAACCTGCTAAAACATTTCAATGAACACATTACTGCACAAACTCAACATTCACAATGACTCATATGTATATACTGTAATATTTATTCAGAAAAGGACAAAATTGTAACATATTCAAGAAAATCAAAAATTTTAATTCCAAATGAGTAAGTTTTGCAGAATCCTTCATCAAAGAATGTAGCTTACTCATATTTGTGAGATTGCTGTTTGCCTGTCGAATAAACTTTTATTTGAAAATAATAATTTTTATATAAAATAACTGTAAACATCATGGACTATGTCCATTCATTTTCTATCAAAAATGTATTTTTCTTGTCTTCCTTGAAAATCTGCTCCCAGAATCATTCTCTGTTAAAATAAATTAAGTAATTATTCAAGTTTTAAAAATAAACTCTAATTTTGTAGTTTATGATTTTATTACTCTTATGTTATAACTTTCTTTTAACTGTCTGCTTGCTATATTAATTATGAAAAAATAATGTACTGTACCTATAAACAATAAGAAACCAGAGAAATATCATTGAAAGATGAATTCTTCTATGTGTCAGTAAATCATAATATTGACTTACTTAATACTAATAATTTAAAAAAATTTTTTATTGCTTAATCCAAATAAAATTTACAATTATTTATGTAAAAATTATATTGGTTTCAAAATAAAAACTCATTCATTGACAGGCAAACAAAGCAAGCTCACAAATATCGATAAGATATACAGTGGGTGATCGGTTAACGAACAAAATCTGTTCCAAGACTTTGTTCGCTATCCAAATTGTTCGTTAACCGATTATCTATTTACCATAGGTTTTAATGGGAATTTAATCAATTCGTTCTGGAGACCCCCCAAAAATAAAAAATATATACTTTCTTACTATGTTTATTTATATGTAATAATAAAAATACATATATACACAGTCTTGCGTTTTTATTAGTCATGTTTTTTCTGTTTGAAAGGGTTAAAGAATCTGTCTAATGTCGATTGCTTTTCTCTCTTCTTCAGGATTTTTCATAAGTAATTAATAAGATTGCAATTGTAGAAATCCCCAAGCCTCAACCTGGTTTGGATGCCATTCTAAGACCGTTGTTCTGACATCCTCCCACTTCTTCAAAGGATCTTTAATAACAGATATCGGCATTAAT